AAAGACTGAGAACAGGGCCAGGGATTTAGCTCACTGGCACCACACCTGCCTTGTAAGCACAAGGTCCTGAGTTCAATTCCTGATACTGGAAAAAAAAAAAAAGATTCAGAACATAGGAAAGGCAAAAAGAAAATTAAAAATTGCCTGTACTTCCACAACTCTATTGTGGATATTATGGATGAATATGCATTTTACTTTTAAGCAACATGGGATTATATTATCTATACTGTTCTGCACAACTTCTCATTCAAATACAGATCTCTATCAAAATGGCTGTATGACAGCCCATGACAGAGATAAGACAGAACTTACTTAACCAAATTCCTACTGATGGGTGTTTAGATGGTTAACTCTAGCTTTAGTAGAAATTTAAAAATCTTAATTGGTCTCCTGCCCTTTGTAGTAAACAAAACACAGGATTTAAGCATGCCATAATCAATGCTCAGAAAAGGTAAGGCTCTTCATTAATTTTAATTTCCTCAATATATGGAAAAAATTTTTTTCTTTTCCTTTACATAACATTTTTCTTTTCTTTTTTTCTTTCTTTTTTTTTTGTGGTACCAGGAATTGAACTAGGGACCTTGTGTTTACAAGGCAGGTACAGTGCCATTGAGCTAAATCTCCGGCCTTGACATAATATTTCTTATGTATCAAAATAATAATGAACTGGGGATTTAGCTCAGTAGCGCTATACCTGCCTGACAAGCACAAAGTCTTGAGTTCAATCCCTGGTACCAAAAACAAAAAAAACAAAAAAAAACGATATGAATAATGAGTTCTGGGTTGCAAAGGAAGTTTTCTGTTTTTTTTTTTAATTAATTTTATTGGTACATTTAAGGTATACAATATAAAAACATTTTATCATTGGAAATTTGTATCTTTACATAATATATCTTGGTTCTTATTTTTTCTCCATTCCCCTGCCTCCCTTGCAAAGGAAGTATTTTTATATTTTGCATTTGTTTTTAAGTCTTTCTTTGTTCACAAGTTAAAAATACAAGTGCTTGGGATGGGGATTTAGCTCAGTGGCATCTTCCTGCCTCATAAGTGTAAGGTCCTCAGTTTGATACCTGGTACCAAAAAAACAAGTGCTAAGAGTGTGTTTTGTTTTTGATGCTGGGCACTGAAGTCAGGGCCTCTCACATGCCAAACCTGCACTCTACCACTACCAGCATCCCTAGCCCATTTAATTCAAATTGAAGCTAGTATGTTTCCCTATTCTCCCTTTAAGAAACCAAGCAAGCAGAGCATGATAATGCATACCAATAATCCCAGCTACTCACGAAGCTGAGGCAGGAGGATCACAAGTTGGAGAGCAGACTGGGTAGCTTAGATCCTGCTTCAAAATAAAAAATAAAGGGCTAGAGATGTGGTTCAGCAGTGGAGTGCTTGCCTAGCATGCACAATGCCCTAGATTCAAATAAATATTCTCATGTTCTCATACTGAAAGAAATATTTCTCATATTCAGGACCTCAGAAATAAGTATAAATATGCTGGGCAGAATGGCACACACCTATAATCCCAGCACTTGGGAGGCTGAGGTAGGATCACTATGAGTTCAAGGCCAGACTAGGTTACACAGTGAGTTCAAGGCCAGTGTGAACTACACAGCGATACCCTGTCTAACCCGCCCCACCAAAAGTATGAACAGGTAAATAAGTAGGTAGGCTGGGATGCAGCATCCCTGGGGTTCAATCCCCAAAACCAGAAAGCAAAAAAACAACAATAAAAATACAACTAGCCAATCAATCAAAACAGCTAAGTCGTGAATTAGCTTGACATACTCAAGGTCTGAGAAACAGACAAAAGAGAACTTGCTGACCGTAAGACCTCTCTGGCCAAAGCACAGGTAACGAGGACACATTATCTGGTACCCTCTCAGCAACAGTTCCCAGGATGCAAAATCTCTGAAACATCGGTGCTATGCTGTAGATACAACCTCTGCCTTGTGCCTATTGGGAAAAATGGAGACAGAGCACACCGAAAACATTCTCTATGCAGGTCCTAATCGTGTATAATGAATGGTTGTTGGTTCTTGGGATACTGCAGTTAAACCTCATGGAGACACTTAGGTTGTACGGAATCACAGAAATTCTAGTTTGCTGGTCAAATGGAGGCCACAGCAGGTTCTCTGTTAGATGCAACTCTGAGCTGCTGCAAACCCATCGGCAGGTGCCTGATTGTGAGCTGCAATCTCTCAGCAGCATGGCAGTCGTGGCTGACTCACCTGCTCAGTGTCAGATCGATTCCGCTTTCCTTCAACTGGAGCCCGTTCACCTCGGATCACTTTGGGCTTCCGTTTCTAGCTTGATTCTGATGACATGGTTGTTCCTTGAGGTAGGGAAGAGACAACAGAAAGCTTTTAAGAGGAGAAAGTTTTTGAGGTTTTCTAAGGTCAGCATTAGGTATTTCTCTCTTTTTTAAATCTGAACACTAAAATCTAACTAGAAGTTCTGGCTTCTTACAGATGTAATAACTGAAGCCTCTGTAAAATCGAGAATCATCCTTTATTCTGTCCAAAATGAATTTCTCTGCGCCACCTTTTTTCTCTCCAATGCTGAGGAATGAACCCAGGGCCTTGCAAATGCTTGGCAAGTGCTCTACCCCTAAGCTACATCACCAGCCCTTTACCTCTATTTTTTTTGGTTTTTTGAGACAGGGTCTCACTATGTAGTTGAGTCTGACCTGTAACTCTCTATATAGTCCAGGCTGGTCTTGAACTTCCAGCGATCCTGCTGCCTCAGCCACGCGAGTGCTGGGATTACAGGCATGCGCCATGCCCAGCATTTTACCTCTTTTTTAAAACAGGTTTCACCAACCACCCACTGAACTTGGAATATCCCTTCCCATCCCAACTCACATTCTGCTCACACGCTCTACAGAATCATCCTACATTCTGGTATTTACCTAGCAACCCCAGGTGCCATGTTCTCTCAACTCAAGACTCTAGGCCAGGCCTCCACATTCCTCTCCTGGACTACAACTAACAGTCGTACAGAGCAATGCTAAATTCTCTTTTATAGAAAGATACCCAACTAATTAATGCCTTTCCTGTTTTGTAATTTTTACTGGCTCTTTACAATGCACCGAAAGAAGTCCAAATTCCCTGGTCAGGGCCGGGGATTTAGCTCAGCGGTTCGGTGGCCTGCCTTGCAAGCGCAAGGACCGGAGTTCAATCCCGTGTACCAAAAAACAAATTCCCTGGTCAACTCCCTTGCCACCTCTCATGGTTATCACCACAAAAACCCTGAAGTGGGCAGCACTGCGTCCCTTACCTGATTGACCTGTCGCCAACACTAATGGATAGAGCCAGCAGTAGGTTGTGGTGGAGTCAGAGAGTGCCTGGAGTTGGAATCTCCACTCTACTGTTTTATGACTCTTGAGTTCTGGGACAAGTTCACGTCACTTTTCTCTGCATATACTTCCTCACAAATCAAGTGAGTCCCTACTTCAGGGGTTGTCGGGGGCATTAACACAGGTGACACTCCACTGGGGAAGGTGAACTGGGATGGAGCTTTGGATGGTGCATGGTGATCTCACACAATGCTGGACACCTAAGGAAAAAGTCAATCTCTTTTCAATTCTTTTTTTGTTTTGCTTTCTTAAGACAGGGTCTCACTATGTAGTTGAGACTGACCTGGAACTCACTATGTAGCTCAGGCTAGTCTCAAACTCACAGAGATCCTCCTGTCTCAGCCTCCCAAGTGCCAGGACTGCTGGGATTATAGGCGTGCGCCACCACCTCCCGGCTTTAATTCTTTTTTGAAACTTGCAATCACTTCAATAACACCTCAGTTCCCTAGCTCACCTTTAACATCTAAGAATGGCAAGATTCCTTTATAATAAAAGGATTTTGCTTCAGAGATTTCAACAATGAAACCTGGCCTAAATTTGTTAACAATGATCAGTATATCAAGTATCCTGAAATTTTCTCTCAAAGAAAATTTTTCTCTCAAAGAAAATTTAAGTTTAAATAGTGACTGGGCTGAGAGTATAGCTCAGTGGCAGAGCGTGAGTCCTGAATTCAATCTCCAGTACCCTCCTCCAAAATATAGTGACTGGATAAAAAAAACATTATTAGGGTTCCTGAGAAGTTTGGGAAGTTAGTAGTAAACTGATTAAGCAAAATCCACAAAGGTGGGACTTGAAAGCCTTAAGTGCTGGAAATCCCGACTTTGGCAACATAGTGTGACTGGCACACAAAAAATGTACAGCAAACCTAAACAGTGCTGGTTGTGGTGGCACACGCCAGTAATTCCTGCTACTAGGGAGGCTGAGTTCGCCAAGTTCCAAGCTAGCCTAGGCAATTTAGCAAAACCCTGTCTCAAAATAAAAACAAAAAAGGGCTGCGGATACAGCTCAGTGATAAAGCGCTCCTAGGTCCAATCCTCAATACCACACACACACACACACACACACACACTCACAAAACCGGTTACCACCACTGTCATCATCATCAGAAGGATACACAGTACAAGATACTGTAACGAATACTTTGCAGATGAGAAAACACCGCTACGCCCCCGAACAGGTACCCTGAAAATGGAAGGCAGAACCTTTCCTTCCGCCTGTCCAGGAGTTCCAAGCCCAGTCCATCGCCCCCCTCCCCCCCACCGCCCTAATTCCCTTCTCACCTCACTTCAACTCTCAGCGAACTAAACCAACCCAGCGAACTACTCCCGGCAGCGGGGCAACCGCTATCCACGTACCACAGAGAAACAGAAGGAAAGAGCGGCCGACCGGAAGTGAGGCTGGAGGGCCGGAGTGAGGCGGGGCGCGCTTTATCCCGCGAGAAGCGCAGGGCAATGTGGGAAACAAGGAAGGGGAGGTTTCCAACTGGGCTGCGTAGATATGGCTGACCTGAAAATCGGGAAACGACCTTTCAGGACATGGATTCACTCTTTTCCTAGCGAGTAAAGCTGAGCCCAGCAGTTGGTGGGCACTTTGATGATTTGTTGAGTAAATGAGTTTGTGGTATGCTTAAGATTGTAGCTATTGTATTGTAGATTGAATTTAGCCCTTTCACATTGAGCTGCGTCCAAAGGCCTTTTTATGTTGAGACAAGTTCTAAATTGTCAACTTGCCCAAGCTGCGTTGAACTTGCGGTCCTTCTGCCTCAGCCTCCCACACTGTTGGGACTCTAGGCATGCGCTACCATGCTCAGATTTGAACACAGTACTGTAATTGAAAGCTTCAGGGTTTCTTACCCCTGGCATGAATTGTAAGACAGGGCCAAGGATTTTTGGTGTAAAATCCCACTTATCTGGAGCTAGAAATACTCCTATCCTGAATCCTGTTATGAAGATAGGGCTTTTGGCTCTGGAGTGACAATGAAAATTCCCTCCCTGAGAGTAGCCCTGGAGCACAGTACCCTCCAAGGGGGCTGATCAACCAGGTGGAACTGGGAAGCTGGTCAGCTCTGCTCTTCCCTCTGTTGGGTACCTGCTGAAGCTCCCTGCAGATAAGAAATGAGGCTGCAACTTATAGTAAATATTTAATTGGTTCCATTAGCAACTCCAGCACGTTTTCCTGGTAGAGAGGCAAAATCAGGCTACCCTGGGGTTCGTGAGGTATTGGAATGGGTTCACAGAGGAGGTCCCAAGTCAATGATCCTGTTCCACAGATCTCACAGCTCTGGAAAATGAGGGTGCAGTTGACAGAATGTGGTGGAGAAGAAATGCGGAATGATGGAACTGCGCTGGCCTGCAGTGAGAAGGGAGCTGGCAGGAGAAAGGCCAGACCTACATATTCCAGTCTCAACTTCATTATGTAAAGGGAAATCAGCCTCTCTTCGTTTGTCTACTTTGTGGACTGCCCAAGGGGTCTTCTGTCACATCTGTTCTATCTGCCAATTCTGTATTCCCAATTCTGCAATTCAAACCCAAGTGCTAGCTTCTGGGTTTCTGTTCCAGGTCTGTCTCCTGCCCCCAAATCCTCCCTGTTCCAATCTCTTTCTCTAGCTTCACTGGGTAGAACCCTGGATCTCTTGACAGCTAAGGGTTGGTGGCAGTTCCAAGCTTTTTCTCAGCAGGACGAATTTGGCTCAGACTTACTTGTCTAGCAAGTGGGTGACCCAGTGGAGACCAGGGAGTTCTTGAGGGCCATGCCTGGTCTGACTTCCTCCTCTCCCACCCCACCTCTAACCACTGGTTGGTTATTCTACCTTCTGTGCAACTAAGCTAAATCAAGGATTTCCATGGTGATAATCTGGGGACAGGAGGCCTTAAAATGAGTAATCTTAGGGAGGTAATGTGACAAGACCTAGAAGGTTGCTATTCTTCACTCGGAACTTAGAAACGACTTCCAGCAAAGAGAAGGACATGGGCGGGGAGGGTAGGAAGTTCTGGACAGAACTGTAACTCCTCAGAACCTTGTCATCTTTGAGCTGAGCTCTCTCTACCTGTCAGAGTCCTCCCAGAGCCCAGAGAAAACCAAGACAGCAGGACCAGAAGTTCCTCTGCCCCAGGCTGCCCTGAGAGAGAAGGGGAAAGAGGTGGAGGTAACAGCAGCATCACTGAAGAGGTGAAATCTTCAAGGGGATCATGATCCGAGACTCCATGTGCCGCACCAAGGGGACTGTGGAGAGACGGACAGATGTCACACAAGGGGCTGAGGAACGTGCACGCATGCGCGTGCACACACACACACACACACACACACACACAGAGGCTTCTACAGAGAGGCATCAGGTGCTAAGACGAGCCTCATGCCCTCCTAAAAGGGCACATGGATAGTACTAGGTTGTCCCAATTACAGAATAAAACAGGACTTCGGTGGTGATGCCATGAACATTCTTTAAAACATACATCTTTTCCTGTATATGTGGAAAAAAAAATAACTGGATGGCTGGGGATGTAGCTCAGTGCAAAAGTGCTTGCCTAGCACGTTTGGCCCTGGGTTCCATACCCAGCACTATAAAATACAAAACAAAATAATGGCAGAGTAAACAATTATTTCTCAGATACCACTAAGGACAAGTATGGTGATATAAAGAAAATAACTGTAAGATTGTGGATATAGCTCAGTAGCTTGGGCAAGGTCCTGGGTGTTCAACCCTTAGCACCGGGTGGGCAGACGAGAGACAGAGACAAAAAAAAAAGAAAAGAAAGAAGGAAGTAAGAATCATCATATAGTCATAGTACCATTGTATCCTAGCACTGAGGAAAAGGTTATATGGGAGTCCTCAAGTGACGAGCTTTGAAAAACTGCCTCACTTTCCATTTGGGGAGGTTGCAACCCAGAGAGGGTCAGCTAGCTCAAGGTCACCCAGAAAGTTAAGACTCTTACTGCTCAGAGCTCTTCACACTTTAACGTGCATACAGATCACCCACAGTTCCTGTTGAAGTGCAGATTCTGATTTAACAGCTTTCTAGGGGAGCTGATGGGTGTTTTTAAGGCGCGCCCAGGGTATGTGCCACTGTCCGTCGGGAGCACACTGAAGAGCAAGGCTTGCACCACCTCCTTCAGTACACACATTCGTCCTTACACCAGCTGGAAGTGTGACGGAGGGAGGGAAAGCTCCTCAAGGGCAAGGACAGGCTTCCATTTATAGATGTGCACCTGCCCACTCACCCACCAGTCCCCCCACACGTAACACGTCAACACCTACTGACTCCAGCTTCTAGCAAAGTGGCAAAAAACCTGCTCAAAAGATTGCTGCGTGCTTCTTGCCACAGTGAGGCCAAAGCACTCGTCATACATTAGTTCGTAAGTTCTCCCAGCCACCTAGTGAGGGAGGCAGGACCAAGATCACCAGTTTATCAAGGAAAAAGCAGCCTCAGCACAGTGCAAAACCATTCCCAAGGTGGTGGTAGGCATCCAGCTACTCTGCAGCTCCCAGGCAGGGGTCACCTGGCTATATTATGGTCCCCTAGAGCACTCAGAACTGTCTCTATCATGTGGAGTATGCTATCAGAATAGAAAACCAGGGCCGGGGAATTTAGCTCAGTGGTGCCACCACCTTGCAAGCACAAGGTCCCCAGTTCAAATCCCTGTACCAAAAAAAAAAAAAA